AAAAAAGGACAATAAAGTGACACAGGGAATTCTATATTTGAGAACTGATGAGGTTAAACAATCGAAAGTTGCTCTCTAATTCAATAAAAAAAACGTTTTTCACCTCACTGATCAAAGCATTGTGCTTCAGTACTTTTCTCGTCTTCATAATTCGTACAATAGCGCATTCCATGTAATACTTGCGATCATGCGTGACCTTGAACAGCGATATAAGGCTCAAAACTACTCCTTGTTCATATCAAACATACCGTATTACTGACAGCTTCTGCTTCTTTTTCAGCATTCTTCACAATTTGTGGAGCCGTAAGTCGGAATCTTAGTCGCTTGCATGTCAATGTCTTATTCAGCGTCAACTCGGAGGACTCATTCAAATCCTGGAGGAGATGGATTTTTGGATAAACAAGATAGAAACACAAAGCCTGACCTTGCTAGTCGTCGTCAATATGTTGGCATCAAGGATTGAGCGCACGTTTCGAATCAAAGCGTCTCCAGTCAAACCGGTCACAACAGATAGGTCGGAAATCTGGCAAAATACGAATTGAGGAGAACTGACAAAGCAAAAATAAACAGGATATTTCAATTATAGCTTGATCCTGATACAAAGCAAATACACCAGTCAAAGAAATCAATTCTCTACAAGTAAGATTTCAAAACTGATGAATAAAACGCGCATGAGGATGTGTTACATAATTACTTACGGGAATAGTGTCTCTGTCTTGGAAGCACAGAATCACAGACATCTGGTGCACGCTCATAGACACTAAGTAAGGTTTATCGAGATAAGTGAATCGTAGTTCACCTAAAATTCATTGTACTTAAAGAAAAAAAAGGAAGAGAGAGAGTAGCGCACCGTGCGACATGTTGAACAACCATGTAAGCTTCCTGCCATTATGCGCACCAATATAGTATTTCTCGAACTCTGTGATAGATGGCTGTAATACTGCCGGCAGAATGAAAGACGTCGTCTCTGGATTTCCGTTACTCGTTCCAGCTAAATCAAATACCAA